GGAATAAACATCCATGCGATATAAAAGTAGAGAGGATAGATATGAATACATAGTTGAGGTCTAACACGTTTTTGATGTTATGCATGAATATGTCACTAGTAACATATATAAAACCCAAAGACTGATTTGGACAAATATCTTATAATATATTAGTTATGGGAAAATCTATGATGCTGAAAAGGTATGGTATGGTAAAAGTTTTGACCATTCAAAACTCACCCATGAATTTTGATAAATAACACCTGATTGACTACCATGTTTATGATTCCAGTTCATTGGGCAGAAGTTTTTCAGATATCATATCTTTTCCATATCATAGTTGAACCCATTAGTTATATATTATTAATAATATATTATATGTTGTACAATATTTTATATATTATATAATATCTAGAATATCATATAATTCATTTTATTACTAATACTATTACTACATAATATTATATAATATGTATTATTTTATCATGTATATACTATTATCAGATCAAGCTGGCTTATTTGTGAAAGCCAGAGCTTAACCAATAAAATAGTTGGGCCCGTTATTTAGAGCATGAGCATGAGCCCATTAGTTTTTGTCCAAGCTTGACATAGAATGAGGGGCCAGGCCAGCTCATTGAGCTACCCAGTCCATGAATAAGTGTAATAAGCAATAAAAAAGTAAAATGACATGAAAAGGCATCAAAAGCTAATGGGCCTGTTATTTAGAGCATGAGCATGAGCATGAGCATAAGCTCATTAGCTTTTGTCCAAGCTTGACATAGAATGAGGGGCCAGGCCAGCTCATTGAGCTATCCAGTCCATGGATTAGTGTAATAAGCAATAAAAAAGTAAAATGACATGAAAAGGCATCAAAACTTCTAATCATTTGATTAAATATTTAAAAACACAAACTATCAATTATAATTCATGTAAAATTCAAAATATTATTAAGTTTAACACCTAATACATAATTTCATAACTTCATCATATACCTTTCAATGCAAGTCGCACAGGGCTGGGTTTAACCTAATACCACATCATTCTTGCCCGTCGGGTAGGGTAAAAATTGCTATCCTATTACTATTAGTTATCAAATATATTTAAGATGAAGGCTGTGTTTGGTTGCAGTACAATTTTATTTGCACTAATACAAATGTGTGGGAGTGCAAATGAAAAAAAATGCAAATTTTGGTTTAATTTTGTTTTAGATTATACTTTATTATGCTTTGTGTTGATATATTGTTGGCAAATTTTTAGATAATATTTCAGTCATTTATTACCATACATTATCCAATTTACTGTTGTTTGACTAATCCACATAATACCATAAATGCCTATGTTATGTTTGGGTCTTTAAACTTTATGTCGGGGATTCTGTATACGTTTTTCTTTACTATACTTGTAAGAATGCTCTCAGTAATCTAAACATTATGAATGTATGCAATGACCAAGAACCAGGCCTATTGGCCCTATCCATTGAAAAATGGTTTTCTTCTTATAAATATGTCATACTTTTTTGAATGAATTTCTAAATTGCAATCTGCAGAACTATCAGACACAAAGATGGGGGCTATCATTCACCAAGCTTTTTAGTCGGCTCTTTGCCAAGAAAGAGATGCGCATTCTTATGGTGGGTCTTGATGCTGCAGGTAAGACCACCATTTTGTACAAGCTCAAGTTGGGAGAGATTGTCACAACAATTCCAACCATTGGTATGCTTTTGATCCTACAACTTAAATGATTTCAAGGGTGCTTTTTTTTCCTGTATGGTTTTTGAGGGAATGTTCTGCATGAATGTCCATGTAATGTGTAAAAGTATGTCCTAATTTTTCTCATAGATCCCTGTCACTTGTGTTTAATTATTCTTTTTATCATGTTAAATTTCTCCTTATAATTAGGTGTCATTTTATCATTTGATTGGTTTGGTGAATTCAGTTTTCACTGTGGGGGTTCAACTGCTCATTCATTCACATACTTTTAAATTTCAACCATGGGAATGCAAATTTGAGATTTTGAGTTTCTTGCTAGATGTACATTTAGAGATTTTAGACAAAGTAGTTCGTTTTTTGTTAGATGGTATAAAACATCATGTTCCAGGTTAACAATGCATGCATTTACCCAAACCTGATTGTTTGCCCTCTGGAATTAGCAATTAAAGCCTATGTAAAAGATTTTTTATGCATGGTTGCTCTGCTCGATGGCCATTAGATCACCAATATCCATATGTTAAATTAAGCTTCTATTATTTTTCACTCTTTACTCAAACTAATGAACCTTTTATGGTCAGGGTTTAATGTGGAGACTGTGGATTATAAGAACATTAGCTTCACCGTTTGGGATGTAGGTGGTCAGGACAAGGTATGTATGGTTATATTAAGCTAAATTATGCAAGAATTTTGACTCTCCTGAATTAAGGGTGATGTTGAAATCTTGGGTTGTAAATTTGCACCCTAAGTAGGAAAATGTTTAGGCTCCTGATGTTTGTAACTATTATCCCAAATTGCCTTTGGATCATTGTTGTCCAGATTCTTAAATTTTCTAAACAATCCTAGTCCACCTGAGTTGTGGATTGGAACTTTTTGTTGCCCCAATGTAGTAAACATTGTTTAGAGACATGAAATAGTATATGAATTAGTATTTTGTGGGTCACCTTGAACTTGTTCGTGATTACGTTGGTGCTTGTGTATTTAAAGTTTTTACAAGAGTGCAACTTTGTGAAGTCAGGGATTTACTTAAATTTGGATGAATCGTTTATGACCAAAAATTGGCATTCTGGAGCTTTTATTTAGTTGTTTCACTGTGAATTAATGTGTTCATCATGATTTATTTATCCATAGTTAGTTATATGTCTTGGGAAACCATGCTTATGGACGGTCTAGTGCTGATTAAATGTTTTAGTATCAGCACTTAACATAATCATAAGCTAGAACAAATTAAGCCACCTCATATTCCATTGTTTCTTTGGTCATATAAGAAAACATTATTCATGTTGTGGCTAACATTTCAAGGCACTTTGATGATGATTATAATTGATAACACCTGCACACACGTAGTTGTAGGAACTGGTGTATGAACAATCTTGTGATGTTTCACTGTCAACTAATTTGATGATCATGATTTATTTATGCATAATTAGTTATTTATGTCTTTGTAAACCATGCTTATGGACGGTCTAGTGCTGAGTAAATGTTTTACCATCAGCATTTAACATAATCATAAGCTAGATCATATTAAGCCATATCATATTCCATTGATTCTTTATCAAGAGAACACTATCAATGTTGTGGCTGACATTTCAAAGCACTCTTGTGATAATTATATTTGATAACCGCTTCGGGCCAGTCGGTTTGACCCTGAACCTGTGCATGGACCTGATATGGCCGATCCAAGTCAGTCCGTTATTGATTGAACCGGTCCAGCCTGGTCCGATCCAACTGATCCAGATCTAATCGGTTCAACCACCCTTGATGTGATTAGCTCAAAGACAATTCAATTAGATAGTTCAAGTTGGTCTAACCAGTTTGAGCCTAAGTGGTTCGATCAAACTCGAAACCCGAACATAGTTAAATGGCTTTGCCACTTGTGTAAAAATAATATGCATGTAATGTGATTGGAACCTTCACCACTTGTGTAGATAGCAACTACTATTACCACCAAGCTATGACCAACTTATTTGCCAAGAGAGTTTTTGGTTTAAAGTACATACATATAAGATTAATGGGTTTGGGTGGGTTGGATTGCATTAAAGCGGGTTTAAGTTGAATCCAACCCATTTAATTTTATATAACTGGATCATTAATGGGTTGGCCGGTTAGATGGATTGGGTTGAAACTCAACCCAACCCGCCCAATTGCCACCGCAAATAGTTAGTTACTTGTGTCTTTGAAAACCATGCTTATGGACGGTCTAGTGCTGATTAAATGACTTGCCATCATCACTTGACATAATCATAAAGCTAGATCAAATTAAGCCACCTCATATTCCATTATTTCTTTGGCCATACAAGAAAACACTATCCAAGTTGTGGTTGACATTTCAAGGCACTCTTATGATATTTACACTGACCATAAAAGATTTTTTATGCATGGTTGCTCTGCTCGATGGCCATTAGATCACCAATATCCATATGTTAAATTAAGCTTCTATTATTTTTCACTCTTTACTCAAACTAATGAACCTTTTATGTCAGGGTTTAATGTGGAGACTGTGGATTATAAGAACATTAGCTTCACCGTTTGGGATGTAGGTGGTCAGGACAAGGTATGTATGGTTATATTAAGCTAAATTATGCAAGAATTTTGACTCTCCTGAATTAAGGGTGATGTTGAAATCTTGGGTTGTAAATTTGCACCCCAAGTAGGAAAATGTTTAGGCTCTCAATGGTTGTAACGATCATCCCAAATTGCCTTTGGATCATTGTTGTCCAGATTCTTAAATTTTTGAGCAATTCTGGTCCACCTGAGCTGTAGACTGGAACTTTTCATTGCCCCAATGTAGTAAACATTGTTTAAAGACCTGAAATAGTATATGAATAAGTATTGTGTGGATCACCTTGAACTTGTTCATGATTTCGTTGGTGTTTGTGTATTTAAAGTTTTTACAAGAGTGCAACTTTATGAAGTCAGGGATTTGCTTAAATTTGAATGAATCATTTATGACCAAAAATTGGCATTCTGGAGCTGTTATTTAGATGTTTCATTGTTAATTAATGTGTTCAACATGATTTATTTATGCATAGTTAGTTATATGTATTGGGAAACCATGCTTATGGACGGTCTAGTGCTGATTAAATGTTTTACCATCAGTACTTAACATAATCATAAGCTAGAACAATTTAAGCCACCTCATATTCCATTGTTTCTTTGGTCATATAAGAAATCACTATCCATGTTGTGGCTAACATTTCAAGGCAGTTTGATGATGATTATAAGATAACACTTGTACACATGTAGTTGTATGAACAGGTGTATGGACAATCTTTTGACGTTTCACTGTCAACTAATTTGATGATCATGATTTATCTATGCATTGTTAGTTATTTATATCTTCAGAAACCATGCTTATGGACGGTCTAATGCTGATTAAAAGTCTTACCATCAGCATTTAACATAATCATAAGCTAGATCAGAGTAAGCCATCTCATATTCCATTGTTTCTTTATCCATACAGGAGAACACTATCAATGTTGTGGCTGACATTTCACAGCACTCTTATGATGATTACATTTGATAACACATGCACACACATAGTTATAAAATACTGGTGTATGAACAGTCATGTTCTGGATGTTTTACTGTCAATGAATATGATAATCATGATTTATTTATGTATAGCCAGTTATTTATGTCTTTGTAACCCATGCTTATGGACGGTCTAGTGCTGATTAAATGGCTTACCATCAGCACTTAACATAATCATAAGCTAGATCAAATTAAGCCACCTCATATTCCATTGTTTCTTTGGTCATACAAGAAAACACAATCCAAGTTGTGGCTGACATTTCAAGGCACTTTGATGATAATAACATTTGATAACACATTCACATACATAGTTATAAGATGCTGGTGTATGAATAGTCTTGTTCTAGACGCTTCACTTCAACTAATGTGATGATCATGATTTATTTATGCATAGTTAGTTATGTCTTTTGAAACCATGCTTATGGACGGTCTAGTGCTGCTTAAATGTCTTACCATCATCACTTGATATAATCATAAGCTAGATCAAATTAAGCTACCTCATATTCCATTATTTCTTTAGCCATACAATAAAATACTATTCAAGTTGTGTCTGACATTTCAAGGCACTCTTATGATAATTACACTTGATAAGACATGCACACACAGAGTTGGGATATTGGTGTATGAACAGTCTTGTTTTGGATGTTTCGTGGTACATTAATGTGGCGATCATGGTTTATTTATGCATAGTTAGTTATTTATGTCTTCGGAAGTATGCTTATGGACGGTCTAGTGCTAATTAACTGTCTTGCCATCATCACTTGGCATAATCATAAGCTAGATAAAATTAAGCAACCTCATATTCCATTGTTTCTTTAGCTATACAAGAAAAAACTATCCATGTTGTGGTTGACATTTCATGGCTTTCTTACTGAACAGTCTTGTTCTGGATGTTTTCTCAGTAATTTAATGTGATGATCATGATTTGTTTGTGCATAGTTAGTTATTTGTCTTTGGAAACATGCTTATGGACGGTCTAGTGCTGATTAAATGTCTTACCATCAGCACTTAACATATCATAAGTTAGATCAAATAATCCACATCATATTCCATCGTTTCTTTTTTCATACAAGAAATCACCATCCTTGTTGTAGCTGATAGTTAATGGCACTCTTATTATGATTATGATTGATAAGACATGAACACACCTAGTTATAAGATACTGGTGTATCTTATTCTAGATGTTTCATTGTCAACTAATGTGATGATCATGATTTATTTATGTATAGTTAGTTATTTATGTCTTAGAAACCATGCTTATGGATTGTCTAGTGCTGATTAAATGTCTTACCATCATCACTTAACATAATCATAAGCTTAGATTAAATTAAGCAATCTCATATCCGTTGTTTGTTTAGCCATACAAGAAACACCATCGATGTTGTGGTTGACATTTCAAGGCACTCTTAGTCTTATGATGATTATGATTGATAAGACATGCACACATGCGTGCGTAATTACAGGATACTGGTGTATGAACTGTCTTGTTTTGGATGTTTCACTGTCAACTAATGTGATGATTATGATTTAATTATTCCTAGTTAGTTATTTATGTCTTGGAAACCATGCTTAAGGACAGTAGTGCTGATTAAATGTCTTAGTATCAGCACTTAAACATAATCATAAGCTAGATCAAATTAAGCCACCTAATATTCCATTATTTCTTTAGCCATAAGGAACAATATCCCTGTTGTGAATGACAGTTAGAAGCACTCTTACTATGATTATGATTGATAAGACATGCACACGTAGTTTATAGGATTCTGGTGTATGAACGGTTTTGTTCTGGATGAAAACTAGGCTACAATTAACATAATCATATGGTTTAATGCTAATCAGTCATTTAACCTCTCTTTTAACATATACAAATGGAATACTAATTGCTGCCAACATTCAAAGTTAACATGTGTGCATGGATATTTGTTTGGATGGTGTTCTGTTGGTTAGAGATTCCTTCATCAGCAGTTAACATTTTCATAAGCGAGGTTGTACTTGGACTGTTTGGCCTTTCATCATACAAGGAAATGGACGTTCCCAACTGACATTTATGGGGACAAGTTTATGGCCCCCGTTTTCCATGTTCTTTCTATTTGATCCTGATTAATTTATTATTTAATGTTGTCAAAGTAAAATCCGTTGGTTGTTCTGCTTGATGGCTTTAAGTAAAACCTTTCACTATGTGTCAAATTCTACAAGTATGACTAGAATTGTTTTCTTCTTGGCTAATTTGGTTAGAAGTCCTAAATTTGTGCATTGTTTCCTTGTGGGGGAATTTCAGATCCGTCCCTTGTGGAGACATTACTTCCAAAACACACAAAGTCTTATCTTTGTCGTAGACAGCAATGATCGAGACCGTGTTGTTGAGGCTAGGGATGAGCTGCATAGGATGTTGAATGAGGTAAGAGGGGGCATTCTCTAATGTTCAATTAGCAACTTACACCAATTTGATTATCAATTGTATTCACCGTTTTTTTTGTAAATTTTCTTGACACTTGAATGTGCTATTGGGAACTGTGACAGGATGAATCGAGGGACGCTGTTTTGCTTGTATTTGCAAACAAGCAAGATCTTCCAAATGCAATGAATGCTGCTGAGATCACCGATGAACTTGGCCTTCATTCCCTCCGTCAACGCCACTGGTTGATCATTTTATATGCACACTATTATTATCGATTACCCGACTTATAGATCTTCTTAATCCCAAACTGACTAATGCTTTTTATCACCGTCTCCCCTACAGGTATATCCAGGGCACATGCGCCACTTCTGGAGAAGGGCTGTACGATGGACTGGATTGGCTCTCCAACAACATTGCTAACAAGGTAGGCATCTCTTCCAGTGACAGTACATTTATTGACTTTCACAAGACTTTTTTTGTTCACTCGTGTTTTTCAAACTCTTTATGTTTTCCTTCTGTTCTTTTGGTTATTGCAGGCATAGATGGCGTTTTCATTTATGATGATTTTTGAGTTGCAATCAGTGTCAGAGTTAGAGATGTTACCACTATTTGCTCTCTTTGATTTTTTACCCTTGTTTCTTTTTATCTTTTTGCGAGAAAAGAGCTATTGTCACTTGTCTTCCCATTCACTTTGTTTATGATTATAGATACTGAAATTTATTTCTCTTTAGATGCAGAATAATTCAAATAAGTTCTCTATTTTTGCTGTTTTGAAATCTTAGCTTAATCAGGTCACTTATAATAACTTGGGGATAAAATTGAGGCTAGATCAGTCCTGTTGTACAAAACCTCTTGAGAATCTAGATCTCCTGCAGTTTTTTCTTAGCACTTTTCCACTTCCATTCATTCTGTCCAATTATAGCCATTTAAACACCCATACATATGAGAATACATTGGCGATAAAATACCTCTCAGAAGTCAGATGATCCCATTCCGATTGAGTGGCTGTGGCATTTGAAGTTGCTGCCAAATTTAATTCAAGACATTATTCCATTCAGGAGACTTTTGCAAGCTTGTAAATATGGTATAATCAATATCCAATTTAATTTGAATCCGATGTAAATGCGACGGTTATGATTCGATTCGGATCTGGACAAAATGTGTGAAATTTTGTTCTTCCCCTGTTCAAGTTGATCTGGTCCGTTTCTAATTGTATCGAATATATGTCCACCCTATTATCAAAACCAACATAATCCAATATGATTCCATTTATATTGTCTTTTTTACTGAAGATTTTTTATTTTTTGTAAGTTGAGATGATTCGAATGTGTTTTTACTAAATTTCGTAAGTTTAATTTTTATATTAATGATTTTTTATAAATTTTGTTCATAAAATATAAAACCGAAGTCATTTTTTGTTATTATTTTGTTTACTTTTAGTTTAATTTATTTTATGCGGTTTAATGTCCGATTGCAATTTGAATTCAATTGGAGTCCAACATAAATCCTTTGGGTTTTACTTGTACCCGATTCATTCATTTACAGCACTACTTGTTCGTACCTATTCGTTCCAATTGTAAATGGATTTTAGATCACCTGATTAGTATTTCAAAATTCCAACAAATTGAGCCCTATCAAAGTATCAGTGCGTTTTTCACTTTACCTGTTATAAATCTTCAAATTTGAGGCCGAGATGGGCTTTGTACGTAGGGAGGTGATCCTTGGCCGTTGTCGAGATCAAGAGTTCACTTCCTCCGAAAATGGTATCGAGGGAGGTGAAATAGTTGGCCAGTGGCCGGATCAAGGATTTACTTAACGGGTCAGTTCAGGCTGTTCAGCAACATCTGAATGACTTCAAATTTGAAGACCTCGGAAGTCGGAATGACTTCAAATCATATTGGTTGGACCTGGATTGAATACTCAGTTAATTTGACTGTGCTTCATTTAAAAAAAAGAGAAAAAACTTGAAAAGTTATTACTTTTGAATTTTTATATGAAAAAGTAATATAAATATGAAATATTGAATTTATTATATACATGTTTCACTTATACATAATTTAATAAATAAAATGTTATATTTTTATATTTATACATAATTGTATATAGTTTATGTATTAAATTCAATATATTATAATATAATTGAATTCTGATTTTAATCAGATCGGATGGAGATAAATGCACATCCAATCTTATTATTAATTATTAATTTTAGCAAATAAATCTGATTATTAATTTTTTGTAGATCGGAAAAATTGATTCTAATCCTATTATATGTACAGATCAACCGAATTCGACTTAATTTGATAAGGTGAATGATGATTCAGTCTAGGGTCAAAATTTTTAGGCCCAAAATATAGTTGGGATCAGGGGTGGCGGAGGGGAGCTATGGCCCCCTTCTATGCCTTCAAAATTCCTATAAAATCCATTTAAATTCCACTTATATTTTGACCCCTTACCTATGTTTCCTAGTTTTTGGCCCCCCTATCAATGTTTCCTAACTTTTGTCCCCCCTCAAGAAAAAAC